TGGAAAGAGAGAGGAGCAGGATTCGAAACATCCGCAAGACTTGAGATGTTGGGATATTATGTTTTGCATTTAGGATACACCRGTTACTCTGCCCTAAATGCTTGTGCAGACACTTCTCAATTACTCTCCTTTTCTTCCCTGGCAAGACTGCCTGTATGAGGAGCTGGAATGGAATAGCTCAAGTGCTGTATATTGTGCTGTGCATTTGGTACCTTAGCTTCCCCTAGTATACATGACCAGCCTTGCAACAAACAGCAGAAATAAGTGTTGTGCAAAGAGGAGGTAAAAATCTGCCAACCCTGTTAAGGTCATATAGCTTCATCTGCATCTATAGGTTTCCTTTCAAGGTGGTTCACTTTTCCCAAGCCTTTCATGTTAAGAATCCATAAATTTGTCTTTCTTCAGGAGCTACAGACAGGRGACATTCTGTATAGGGACACAAATAGGTCATACCTTCCTGGACTGTTGCCTTACTTCACAAGGGCACATAGAGAAGTGTCAAGAAGCAAGAGATAAGTAATATTGAGGTATCATTAATGGAGAAAGACAAATTTATCTGATTTTCTTGGAGGAGCTCCCTAAAACAAGTGCTGGAGACAGGAAGATAGCAGTGCTAATATCCTATAGCAAGTGGCTCAGAATCTATCAGACCCTGTCATACCCTGTGAGATGCGCTTGAATTCAACAYACTGCTCTTAAATAGCATGGATGTAGTATTTCAGTAGAGAAAGAAATGAGAAAAACTGTTTACCTCTAATACTTTTTCCATGTACCTTAATGCCAAAAAAGTAAAACAGAGGTTGAATTTATTCTGAAACATAGAACATGGTCAGGAGTGGAAAAAAAATRTTTCTATGTACAAACAGTCAAAGGGAGTATAAGAAGCAAGAGCTGAGGAGTTACTTAAATGTCAAGGATTACATTGTACCAGGTAAAACTGAAAGGTAGCAGAGGGATTGAATCTCATAAATGAAATGTCATTACTGATGGGCACAAATTATGTAGGAAAGATGGAAAGGGAGGTGGCACTTTGWCAGATACATTTATAGCTGTAGCAAGATGGAGTTCAGCCACAGGGAGAGCAGTTGTGAAAAATGAAAAACCAAAGAGAAGCTGAAGTGGACATCTGCTGCAGCCTCCTCCAGCAACGAGAAGGCAGGAATGAATTAGAGCCTCTCTCGAGGTACTCAAAGCCACAGGACACCGTATTTGCGGAGAATTTAGCTGCCCACACATCTGGTAACAAGCACAGCCCAACATGAGCTGAAAATGCTCATGCATCACACTGAAACCTGCTCTGATCCAGGCAGGTTCCTGACAGAAGGAAAATCGCAACAATCCAGGAACTGCAGCTGACAAACTAGAAGCGACACCAATGAACAAACTGCGTGTATGTAACATAGCAAGGAGTTTATTGAGTTGACTTAGAAAAGGTCTCTGGCATGACGTGCTGGACACATACACATTAAATATACAAATGCCTGCCAAAGGAAACCCAGAAGGCACGTGCATTCAGGCAAAACGCTTGTGCAGAACCTCTGCCCATTCCATGCCTGGAGGGGAGAGCCTGGAGCCCCAGGACTGTGAAYGTAGGCCCCTGTGCTATGCCACAAACATCAGCAAACTTGGGCCAAGGGGCAAATAAGATCTAGAGAAGAGGGGCCAGGGTCGGAAAACTCCCAAGGGAAACACATTTCCCATCTTTCCTGCCCCCTTAGAAGATTAGTGAGCTGATAATTAATACCTAGGAGGAGCAGGGACCCGGCGGCAGCTGACTCGGCGGCTGCTGTGGGCACCTCTGCGCCTCCAGCCGCCGTTAGCAGCCCCGACAGAGCCCAGGACCTCTGCTCCCTGCCCCTAGCACCATTAACCACATTTTATCTGGCAGGACAGGGAGAGATTCATTGCACAGGCCACAGCCTCAGGTTTCCAGTGCTCCTCAAAAACCACAGGGTGCAAAGCTAGTCAAAATAACCCCGGTCACCTCACCCAGCCTCAGAGCTGTTGCCATAAGAGCAGCCAGCTGGTCCAAGTTCAGCTGATCTTATCAGTGCTGAAGAACAGGTTTCACCGGAGCCTGGAGCACCCACGCGGGATCAGCGAGGCTGTGCGCGTCCCCAAAGAGTCCCGCTCAATTTAAAGAGGAGATTCCTATCATGCAAAAAGCAGGGCCTTTTAAAATTAATTTAACAGCACTTARTAAGCCCGAGGAATGACAGCAGGCCCTGGAGCCTAAGTGACTTCAAAAAAAAAAAGCAGGGATTTAAAAACAACAAATGACCTGATGAACTGGCATAGCAACAAAATAAAGGAGGTCTGAGGCTTGCCTTGGAAAGGAGAACCTGCAGCTGGCAAGGATAAAGAAAAGTGCTTTCCCATCTGTCACTGCACAGGGAAAGTAAAATGCATTAGTAAGCAAGCACAGAGCGAGATGAAGAGCAAGTGAAATCAGCCTCTCAGGCTTTCTGTTAAGTCATTCCCTCCAAGATGGAGCAACAACGACATAAAAAATACAGAGATAAAGGGCTTCCTGGAAAACTTGACCATTTACATCAATGGGGTACTAATTCGTTAACTAAGCTATTGCACAATTTACAAATAAATAAATATTTTTAAGGTCTGGGAGAACAGAGAAGCACCAGATGACAATATCCTTATCAGAACAAAAAGTGGAACAGCAGTGGCCTGGTAAAATTCTCTCTGATCTTTGCTATCAGAGTAAAATAAATATAAGAAAAAAAAAATCTCCCCAACATCTGGAGAATATTGGAAGCACAGCAAAAATGAGCTCTTCTAGCCARTTCTAAAGACATACAGCAGGTAGTTTTAGGCACACAAGCAGCCCTCCAGAAGCCAACAGGACAGCTCACGTATTAAGTTGCCTCTGTGTCCAAGCGATGGTGTCCTTTCCAACACTTCTTCTCTCCCATTACCAGGAGCAATTTTATGAAACACTGCTGATAATAAGAACTGACAGAGCTTGGTGTAAAACAAATCACCTGTTCCCAGAAGGCGAYATACAATACCTATATAGAGTAGCCAGCATTTAGCTGACTCTGAATGCCTATAAAACAAGAATGAGCAGGTTTAACAAAGGGCTTTTTAGGGTCTCAAGATGTTCTACTGGGTGAGCTCAGAGGAAGGCAAACTTGCTTGCCATTTGAGTTAATTACCCTCCCAGGAAAGGCAGTTACTTAATCAATAAATTGCATTTTGTCATCAACTATGGGCAGCTGTGTCAGTGTAACAACAAATACTGTACCCTAGCACCTGGAAGAGTCTTTGGAACAGCTTATTCTGTGTTGGCAGTGGACTGCTCTCCTCTGGCTGTGGATTTCATATGCAAGGAAATGATGGCTCTTAAAAGAAAACTAAACCTGTATTTTTCAGATCTCCATATAATTTTCTGACAAGCCAATTTCTTAGTTTTTCAGGTGGCTACTTACCATTAGGATTTATTTTTCATATAAATCACACAAGGGCTTGTTTATGACAGCAGAGTATGTAATCTGCATGGCAAGAAGGCAGAGTGGAATAGCAATCCACGTACTGAAGAAACAAAAACAACCTGATTCCCCACTCTGTTAGTGGATGGAACTGGAAAAGGGCCAATGAGCAAGATAAAGAGAGGTAACSAACAGGACCCATATAATGAAAGACTAAATATATCATGGGCTTGTAACTTGGGAAAAAAGTGAAGACTGAGGACATAGGTGATACAAGCCTATCAAATCACAAGGAGACAAGGAATAGGATGGTCATTTTGTACATCTGACAGTGGAAGAATTAGGGCTGGTCTGTGAAACCATCAAGCAGGCAATTAAAACAGCTGGAAGACGGTTCATTTGTCATACCGAACAATGAACTCAGAGTTCACTGCTACAGAACRTTGTGGAGGCCAAAAACACAGAAGGGTTTTTAAAAAGGGACTAAGTGTGTTCGTTAAAGCCAGGTCCAGAAGGAACCGCCAGGTCAGAGAGTCCAGAGATGGCTGGAACAGTGTCAGGGAAAGACACTGCCTMGGGGCCTCATTTTGTGCGTCTGCCGTCACCTACTACTGGCTATCTCAGGGACAGGATACCAGATTAGATGGCCTTTGGTCTGACTGCGTATGGCTGTTCCCATGGATCAAAGCCCTTGATTTTGGCGTGTTTTAGAATTTGGAAAGGTTAACATGAAAAAAAAAAAAAAAAGAAAGAAAGAGAGAAATTGAAAAATGTGTCTGCTTCCTCTGCTGCTTCTTTTCAGCGTGGAAGATGTGCCCTTTTAATCATTCTGTTTCCATGAATGGCCAAGTGTCTCTAAATTAGCACCAAATGGGCTTTCATAGGAGCCATGGAAAGCTGACATTACTGCTCCCAGATGTGTGCAGGCCCCGTACAGAAYGGCTTCCCACACCTGAGGCCCAGGCTCAAACGGCAGCTTAAACAACGCCCTCCATTCCAGTTCTTCTCTTGAAGAGATTAATGCAAAATCACTTTGTTCAACTGCTATTTTTTATGACAAGAAACGAACAGTTAGGACACTAATCTCTTTGCCTCTTCGAGCCAAGCCCTTCTCCCCTAACCACTCATTTCTGTGTGGGTAAATGACAACAGGAATCTACAGGAAGATGCCTTGAGGACACAGAATTGCCATGCTGTCTGTAAACATCACCATTTCACCCAGAATTTGCCACTCTAAGTGGACTTAGCCTCTCAACCAGTCAGCACAGGACCTTTCTGCAGCGTGGTAAACTCTGCAACACAGTAACTCCGAGTSTGCAGCGGGACAGACTGAAGTAGCAGCGCAAGTAAGTCAGGAAATCTGCACTTCTGTGGGCACAGAGCAAGCTCTGAGGAGACCCAGTCGTCACAGTTGTATTTAGTTATAAAATGTGTATGCACACACGCATATGGATTAATACATTCACTGCTAGCCCTCACTTAAGGGCCTGACCATCCATAGCCTGAGCTTCACCCAGTCAATGGGCTTTAGCAGGGGGTGCCAGGTGAGTCCAAGCCACTGGACAGTGGCTTCCCAGGCCACTGTGTGAGGAGGACATGGCTGCAGGTTCAAAATCAGTCAAAAGGTGGATGTTCCAGCTTGTTCAGTCTTCCGCTCTCCCGACGATCCGTCTCCATCAAGATAACACACAGGTAGGCTGCTTGTTTTTATCACTCGTGGAGGAGTTTGGACCCAGATTACCTGGAATAAAAAGAGGTTAAAATGTTAATGTTAAATAAAGTAGATAGGGATAAAGTTTTTGGCTCACAGTTCAGCCCTCTTTCATTAGTTATTGCACGTCTTGTATTATAAATTAGTCTGTGTTCTTTTGGGGCTTTGTTTCCTACTTTTTGTGGAAAGGAGAGATGCTGGAACAAGAGGAAAGTCAGTGCATTCAATGGAGAAAACCGCTGGAGAAGTGTTTTCCAGGCTCTGGCCTATTGCCCAGGTTGAGCAGTGGAATTCTCAGCTCCCAGCTGGCACTTAAAACTAGTCTGGCCAAGACTTGTTGAGCGATCTGCCAAAGAGTAAAGGCTGAATAAAAAGGACCCTTGGGTCATCTCATCCATTTGATGCCCACACATTCTCCTCAGAGCTTTCTATCAAGTCCAGTTTTAAACATCTGAAGTGGCAGGACTTCTAGCATTTTTGTTGCAAGAGAAATCCTGAGGCCTCAGGGTCTCCCAGTTAAGTAAYGTAGTACACTGCCAGGAATTTTTTATCTTCACAGTGTTTTTCATTGCTCCCTCCATAAGTTGCTCCTGCTTCCCAATATCTGCACCTTCCAATGCCTGTACTGTACCCAGAGGGTCTGCTGCCCCTCCAATTGACTCCATTCAAGGACAGCCCCTGCTCGTGTACCTCCACAGCTGGAAGGTGGGTGGGCATCTCCAAAGCAGGGGGAGCCTGTGGTCCGTGCAGGGTGAGAATGAGGAGGGAGAGAAGCCAGAGGTCATGGTGACCTGCTAGGGAAAAGCCTGGCCTTTGCTGAGAAGCTGTGATGTTCAGCCCAGGCACCGCCTCTGCACCATGACTGAGGCGTTTTTCTTGTCACTCTTGTTAATAAACATTTGATGAATGTTTTCCTCCTCTGGGAGATCGTGGGGAAGATAAGACCTCTCTCCTCTTTCCCGGCTCTTCTGCACTTTCCTTCAACACTGCAACTTCCTGACCTGCGTGGGGGAGGCTGCACTGCAACTGCCCTCACTCCTGTGGCTGCCCTGTGTGACGGTGCCACCTCCCCACTCCTCCCTGTGGCATTTGATTCCATTCTGTGTATTGCTACTACGCTTGTCACTGCTATCTGTTACTGTTACTGCTATCTTCTCACCTCCCTCATTGCCCTCCCTGTCTGTGTCACATTGAAGACCCTCGAGTTTACCTTTCAGAAGCTTCCATACTCCCCCTCTGCTCAATCTCCTTTCTCCTGCCCACTCCCACTCTTATCTTCTGGCCTTTTTCTGCTGTAGTTAGAGCAGACATTCACCTTATATGCCCTGAAAGACATTTCTCTCTTTCTCTTTGTAACAAGGGCTGAAAAATCCATTTGCYACCTGCCTAGGAGCCCACTTTGGCTCAAAAGCACCAGTGATACCCAAGCAGGCTTTTGGGTGGCATTGCAGTGTAAATGCACTTCCTTGCTGCAAGAAGCACCTAAAAGAAACTGAAAATCCCCCTAGAAAGCCTGTGTGTTGTGCAGCAAACGCCTGATCCCCAGAGCAGCTCAGCACAGCGGGCCCTCCTGACAGCCCCCTTGGAGTGCAGCTTGCAAGGGAGAACCAGCACAAAGGGTGGGGGCTTCCAAAGGCACACACGGCTTCCAAAGGCACACAGAGCTTCCCAGCGCCCAGAACCTCCACGCAGATGCCAGCGTCTCGGCTGATCACAGCCTGCCCAGCAGCAGCACAGAATTAACACGATCGTGGTCGGCTGCAGAGCTGCTGCTCCTGCTCTCCTCGCAGGCAACGTGCAAGAATCATGTCAATTCGATGACATGGTGGTTTCAGAGCACCTTGCAAGACAAAACACGTTGGCCGGGCACTGTGCTAGCACAACACCCAGCATGTTCATTTAGGCACTTAGTTCAGGACGTCACTTCGCCTGCGGCCCTCAGGTTTTTCATGCTCCCAATTCTAATTTGTCGGCATCATCTTCTGCCAGGTAAATACCCAGGTTTCCAGGCTGTCACTGCACRCACTTCTGTTGCTCTCCTTCCCAGTGTTGATTCTCTTCATCACCATTTGCTCTTCGAGGGTTGAGCCTGACCTTTAGCCTGCTTGAATAATGGCTTTCAATTACTCCGCGAGCTGCGCGGGACGCGGATCTGCTCTTTCTGTGCATTGGCAAGGTAGGATGTGTTTCGGGGGAGCTACAGAATTAATAGTGACTTTGGAGGCTGTGTGCACAGACAGGCCCACAGGGCTTAAGTGTGCTGTTTAATCTTTATAAAAGCTAAGGGCAGCTATTTCAAACTGTGAAGCTCAGAATAATTGCATCCTAGCCAGCCTGCATACCAAGCACATCTCTCCCTTCCTCCTAGCCCTCATTCCCACTCGTTGCCTCCCTGCTGAAACCCCGAGGAGCCCAGCATCACTTTTCACCAGGCCTGCTCAAAACCCTCCTGCTTTTATCTTGCAGCTGAGCTCTAATCCATACCCAAGCTCAAGAAGGTTTTATTCAGTCCCAAAGAAGCATGTGCGGCTAAGCAAGCAGCCACAGGGTGCTACACGGTGATTTTTTTTTCCCCCTCCTTCCCATGAATTTCTATCTCAATAATGTTTCCTCTGCCACCTCTGTTCACTTGTCACTTTTGGATGACTAGACTAGAGAAGCTTGAAACGAACAGGGTTAGAGTTGAGAAGCATTACACAGGTAGTCCTGTTTCTCCAGTGTTTCCCTCCAGATGACCTAAGCCTGCTTGCTCCATACTACAATAGCTGTAGGGTCTCCCAGKGTCACCACAAATGGCCATTTTTCACATTGGTGTAAAGCGCAAATATATTTGTTGACTCCTTGGAGAGACCTACCTGCTTAGGAAGAACGTAGCAGGAAGGCTGATGTTCTGGACCTCAGCTGCTTCCCTGCACTTCCAGTTTTGAGGCTGGCTTGCTTGGAACCACACTCAAGTGCCTCAAGTTYTCAATCCTGTGTTCCCCTTTACTGCAAGAGGTGCCAGCCATGAGGGAGGTAGCAATGGCACAAAGGAAACCAGAACAAAATGCAGTGGTGGTTTCTTGCTGCAAATGGCCCGGACCAAGCCCCAGGCTGCCTGGCCTAGCTCCATCATGTTAAATGCAATAGGATACCCCTGCTCTCCTAGCCTGCRCAGTGCCTCAAATGGGCTCAGTGCTCCATTCTACAACGGATAAATCATCTGCCTCACGTCTTTGTCTAGGCCAAACTTCCCATGRGATGGGAACGGCCTCCTGTCTGCTTCAGAGGAGCTGAGAGCAAGACACAGAGGGAGGCGCAGATATTATCAAGCCCATCTTCAGAGAAACACATCACAACTCAGATCCCACAGTTCTCTAGATCTGTCACTAGAGGGTAGTGCAAGCCCTCCGCTCCAATGCTCCAAGAGGAGCTGCCCTCACATCTCCCCATAGGTCTTTATGGACTTTGGCTTTCCTGGCTCTTGGGAGTGAGGTCCAGCAGCACGTACTGTCTGTGCTGAGCTTCTAAGGAGATCTGGAGAGAAGACAAGGAGCAGGGTCTGCTCCCACCTCCCYAAATGCCCATCACACATCCTAAAGGGGGTCTGCTATGGTCTTAAATGAACCTTCCATGCCTTATTACAGTGCTGCTCGTGCTGATTTGGCAGTTTTAAGTCTGCCAATCATTCAGACAGAAATATTTCTAAGAACTGAATCAATCACTACTTTTGACTCTCCCAATACCTCCAATACCTCGTCTTTTTTTTTTTTTTTTTTAGTCTGCAGAGAATGTCTTTCCATCTCACAACATAGCAGTCTCAAGGGAATTCAGTTGTTCTACTCCTGCACTTCACATTTATCAGAGCATACAATGGTCCCCAGACAGCCATATGGAGAAGAAATGTTCTCCCCTGAACTAGTTTATTTTCCTGTTGGAGCAGGATGCTTTGGCAGCAAGCACAGCTTACAGAGAAGGGGACAACCAAGCTGAATAGTTCATAGATTTACTTCAGTCTGACAAAACATCTAAAACCTTGGCAAGTTAGTTATTAACCCATAAATTGGGAGAGATCTTTATCACTTGGGTCTTGAACCTGATGAACCTTTGAAGGAACATAGTGAAAATATAAATCACACAGCAGAGAAGAATGAAGGGCTGAGATCTAGTAGCCCCGCACAGCTTCTCTTTTCATGACCCTCTCCCCTGTTTCAGGGGATAAAGTAGCAAACTAGAAAGATCTCTGCCCTCTCCTCCACTCCTTCCCCCCTCACCTCAACATAACAACCTGCTTTTTCTTATTCTACACTATCAACCTTTTCACAGTAAATCCAGMCAAACAAAGCCAACTGAGGCAAGGAGGGGTTACACTGGAAATGCCTCTGCACCCTGTCACGACACTGACCAYCCTGCTGCCACTTCAATGGCCATTCAAGAACTGTACACTCAACCTTATTTTCAGAAGGAGACATTCACCTTTCCCTCTGTTTTCCCAATACCTGCTTGCTGCCAAGTCTCAGAAAACATTTACGTAGGAAATGCCAGTCACACGAGGAAACTGCCATTAAGTTGCTCAGAATTATGTTTCATTTGAAACGACCTTTACTCTTCTTTAATCCTGGTCATTTTAACACAGAGGTGATGACAGGATCTACTCACACGGGTCTGTGTTGGACATTTCTGCAGCAATCAAACTAGGCTCAGAAGAAGGGACAGAAGGGACCACTGGAGCAGAGAGGAAGCACAGAGGCGCTGCAGGGAAAGGTTTTACCTGAGATGCCTCCAGCACTCCGAACACTGGCRTGACCGATGCTGAGCCGTTCATATTCCAGTTTCATGTTCCCAAGGTCTTCTCCTGAATGTCCTTCACTGGCAAAAGAATTGGCCTCACTGCTCGAGCCTGGAGACCGTTTGGCCTTGCGACTGAAAAGCCCACTGGCAAAACGTTTCCCTTGCTTTGAGTTGGGCTGGGCGTCTTCCTTCTTCATATCACGAATAGATTCTCTAGATTTGGATTTATTTTTCAAGTCCACCTGGAGYCGACAGAACAGTTTCTGAGGACTCCTATTTAACTTGTTCAGGTTCTCCAGAGGGGGCTCAATCTCTGGGAGTTCTTGCTCCAATGTGACTAAATCATTCAGGAACTGATTCAACCGCTTCTTCGACTCACTTGTTTCCTCCTTTTCCAAATTCCCCTGGTTCTCCTGCCTGTGACGTGAAGCCCAGAGCATCATATCGCCGCGGGTCGCCCCTGCCACTAAACCATACTTGGGGTTGATGATCTTCCGGGCCACGGTGGAGGAATGAAGACCCAGTTTACCCACTCCGGGAGGGAGCGGATTGGCAATACCCAGCTCTTTGTAGAGATTAACTTCCTCTGAAATGGCATAGAGCTCACGAAACTCAATATCAAACATCTCCACATGCTGTCCTGTCAGTACGAGTAGGATGTTTCTGTCAACATGGGATGAGCTCCACGTGAAGCTAAGAGAAGGAAACAGAACTGACGTTAGATTTTGGGCTGATCCAGCACATCTAACTTGATCCAGCRTATCTAACAATATCTAAAACACTATGTGGGAATGCCTAACCCTCTACCATTTGCCCATACAGCCATGTCAACCTGGGTTAGTACAGCCCAGTTTTGAAGTTCTTTATTCCTGTTCTTTTACAGGCAAAAAGCAATACTTCCTCAGTGGGAGGAGTCTGCAGACTCAGCCTCACTGCAGAGCACTGATCGCTGTGGCTAGCGGGGAGTCCTCGCTGGCCACCACCTGATGCAGAGTGGCCGGATGTCCAGCACACTAAAACAGACCATTAGCATGGGCAAGTTCTCTTCTCCTGGGAGCAGCCTGTGTCCTGTAMCACCTTCTCTGTTGTCCCACTCTGATTTCTACAGATGTCAAAGATTATAAAGGCTGCGATAAGAAATGGAATGACACGGAAGGAAGACACTCCAGCTCCCTTAAGCAAGAGCAACCCACCTGTAGGATCCTGTGGCCACTTTTTCACCATCCACCATCAGGAATCGGGATGCCAGAGTACCTCTGATCTTCCCTGTTGGCATATAGAACCCAACTCCTGTCACAGAGCGAATACGGATGTTCTAGCAGGGAAGTAAGAGACAAAATGTCACAATACATAGGGCAGAGAATTAGATAATTGCCAGCTCCAAGTCTTAACATGTCACTCACATTATCTCACTGCATGTGGGACTACAGCTCATTTTATATCAGCCAGCAGAAATCAGAAGGGCTGCAGGAAGGAAAGCGCGGCACCGAAGGCCCTGCTGTCAGCCCCTGTCTGTACAGGTCACTTCCCTCCCTCAAATTACAGCCCTGTCCAATAGGCCAGGCTTTTGGTAGCACTGCCTGCTCTCTTAGCTATTCGTCTTAGCCCTCTGGCAARAGAAGGCTTTCAAAATCAAATAATCCTCTGTCCCCAGTCTTGTGTGGCAGCTCTGAAGGCCCAGCCCTGTTCAGAGCAATGAATCAGAGGTAGCTCTGAATCATGTATGTGCTCTCTTGAAGGCTGACCCCCCTTCCACAGTGCTCCTAAACTGCTCTCCAGACTTGGCTACGGRGAGCACAGCACCAAGAAATTTCCCAACTCGTGTGCAATCTAAAAGATGCAGCTAGGTAGGAATGAGGTATGGAAGGAGGATGGATATGGAGGATGAGGATAGTGGAGGAAGGTAATATGGAGGAAGGTATAGAGGATGAGAAAGGAAAGTAATAAATGAGGCAGGCCCAAATGAGGCTCTTTTTTTRGTGATTGCGTTTTGACACCAACAACATATAGCTTGAAAAAAAAGCAGTCAAATTGGAAGACTAGAAAATTTAGTTATTGCAGAAGAGATGAAGAATCAGTTCTGTTACTCAGAACATGCGTGTTTCCTGCCTGTTATAACAAAAGAAGAACCTCAACCTTTCTCATTTTAAGGACTCCAGGCACCTCAAATATCTGCCTAAGTTCTTCAGTGTGCAAAGGAAAGAACAGAGAACATWTTTTTTTTGCAAGCAGAAGAAGTAGGACAAACGTCTCTATCAATGTCCCAAGAAGAGGAAGGCAAAATCTTTTATGAGATGAATTGAAAGGACATGAAGCTATTACCTCTCCTCAAAAATCTGGTCTCGCCTTTCCCCATTTGACCACCAAATCTACAAGTAATAAATCAGAAGACTACCAGGGACGGAGAAAACACTAATTTAAGGTTCTATGATCTGCTTCAAGATGCATGTCTGCATTTACTGCAAGAGCACATTTTCATACCAGACTGAGAGTTACTCTGCTCAGACTAACGCTGAGTCCGTGGSTTCTGGCTGTCTGAGGCTCAGGTGCCCGACAGGTAAATGCTCTGCCTCCCCGGACAAAAAGCCAGCAAAAACAAACAACCCCCCCAAACAACAAAACAAACAAACAAACAAGAAAGCACATTGACTGTCAGCATAAGTTTAGAGCAAATTATCTTGTCACTCCAACATACAAATTTAGACGATTTTCTTTATTCTACCATCTATTTTTGCAAGGATTCTTTAAGAATGAAAGGCAAAAATTATTGTGATCTGGAGGAATAAAACCAGGGTCACTCAGACAGTCCCAAGGATAATCACAGTTGTGTCACTATTCCCTGTGATGCTTTGGAAAAGTCAATTCACCTTTGCCTCATTCTTCCCCCATCTGCAGAACAAGAGAATCATGAGGATTTGGCTAATGCTGGTACAGCCTTAGATCCCATCAAGTGCTAAGTGCTATTATTATGAACTTCACCGACAGCTTAAATATTGATAGGCTATAGAAAGCGGTATGCAGGAACAAGTGATTATAAGAAGGCAGAAGTCTTTCAAAAAACAGTTTTYTGAATATAACTCTTACCTTTCGAATCTGCTCCTATTTTCCTCAGTAAAAATACAGCAGTGGCAGTACAAATTCTGACTAACAGTAACTAATGATACTACTATTCTGCATTCATCTACTGCTTTATCCGTCTGGAGTTCTGTGTGGGCATTAGCTGATTAATCCTCCCAACGCTGCTGAAAGTATTATTACCTTGTTTTAGAGATGAGGAATCTGAGAGAAAAAAAGATGGAGTGAAAAAAGATGAAGTGACTTGCCCAAGGCCTAGCTGTGAGTCATATGTGTGGGATGCTGAATGCAGGTTGGGMAGAGCACGGGAGCAGGGCTGCCCTTTGCAGCATTTGTAGTTGGGTGGCTGTTCACCTAAAATCATTTTTTCCTTACAGAATAAAACTGGATTTGGGATCAATTATAGAATATTGTCTGCAAGGTCAAGAAGTACACATCAATCAGTCAACTGCTCTCATGTGCAGAATGCATTTCAGAATCAAGAATTATCAGGCTGGGTGGTAGCAGGACGTTTCTAAGCATTTAGCAAGTGTTGGTTTTACCAGGTGTGCAGGCTGCAGCACCTTATTTCGCTGGAAAGAACATTTGAATTTTTGCAGCGACTGAGGTACACTTAACTCTTGCAAAGGCACAGAAGGGATAGCAGCTAACAGCTGAACATATAAACCTCCTTGTGCAAAGTAGGCACAGGAGGCATAAATACACACAAATACATTGTGAAGTTCAGAAAACATGCATCAAGTCACATAAACATCGAGCCACTTAATAGGTTATTTGTATGTTTGCTGCCTTGAAGGATCTCAGAGCACTTGAAGACTGTGGGATCAGGCTTGTGCAGATGAGGAACAAGCCGGGATTCATGTATGGAAGACTATAAAATAGTTAAAGATGAAAGGCAAATATAAACGAGGTGAGATTTCAACCATTTTCTTTGGGCACGCTTTACAGCAGAGACAGATGTTCTGGGTAATGGGAACAGTTCCCAGATAGAAGAGAGTGACTCCTCCAGATCTGTATTCCTTTTGAAGCTTCTGCTGTAGACAGCTGCTTAAGGTTTGTCATATCCTGGCTTCTGGAAGCTGCAGCCTGGGTTATATTTCCACATTTTGTTTATGCAGGTTTGCACCACTCCTCATCACCAGCAATGATTAATTGCCTGCGCCTGTCAGCAACTTATGCAGACTGGTAACACTCAAGCCTGACAAAGGATCCTAATACACACAGTGAAGAGATCAGCCTTGTTTTGTTGTGCCACACTTTTACACCTCACCCAGAATCCACAGAAAGTTAAATTAGCCCCAGTTTAATAAGTCGGTCAGTCACTGCGTTGTGACTGACATTCAGTTGTCCCTAAAAAGAGACCTGGGCAGCAGTGGCCAAGAGTTGGTGTTGGGCAGGGTGAGGATAGACAAGATGAACCCTAAAGGCAAGTGATGCAACTGCTTCCATTAAGGAATCCTGYGTGTCCTTCCCTCCTGTATGTTGCAATGCAAGCAGAGATCCTTATTTCAGGTTGAGGTGGTTGGCACAAACAGCTTTAAAACAAATAACAGATAGGCAACAGAACAAAGCAGTAGCTGATGTATGACAGTGACTCAAGAGCCCCATGCACTGCTTTTGTTTATTCAAAATGTAGGGATTGCCCTTCTGGTGCCCTTCAAAAAGCCAGATCCCTTCAGTCAGCAGCATTTGTTGGGCTAACTCCTGTGCTCTGTTTCCTTGCATGGCTGCATCGAGGTGCAAGCCCCAGAAATCTGTTCTTTTCTGCTCTAAAATCCTGGAGATGGAGATTCCAGAGAAATATGAAAGGCAGGGAGATTCATGTGGACACACAAGATTAATGTGGGCCTCAGTGGCATCTTTCTACTTCATGGTGTTTAAGGCTGTCATTTGTGGTGAGTAGAGCTCTAAGTGGAAGAGATGGGTATTAAGTACTCATTCTACAGAGACACAAAAGCAACAGCAATCTGGAAACTTCCACCAGATAGTGCTGGGAAAGACTGGGGACTTACCCTTTGAGTCTGCCCTAAATAGATTTGGAAAAAGTGTTTCTTTGGAAAGAACACTTTTTTGTTCTTTTCCAAAAGAACACTTCTGGAAAAAGTGTTTCTTTGGAAATTACCTCTTTGGAGGTAGTACTGGAACCTGCAGGTAGTCAGGTAGAATAAGAGGGAATGCGCCTAGCTGTACCTTGCTGGCAATGTCATTATGATTCAGATGGGTATTTGGGAAAAATGAGCCTTGGAAACCCCTATTTTCTAAAGGCCAATTCTCTAGCAGATTGTTAAAAACACTAAGACTCCTGCATCACGGTCAGCTTCCCCACTCACTTAGGATTGGACAGGGAAAGCTGAGGTAAATATGTGAACTGAAATAAAATTTCAGAAAGCCCTAGAGAGAAACTTGGAGGAGCATTTAAGAATTCCTGGAGTAAGSAAATGATCTCCTTTCATGCAGGGAAAATGAATCTAAATATGAACATGAAGATGAACTTCCTGCAGATACCACATTCCTTGGGTTTGCCTGGAGCTCCGGGCAAACTCCTTGTCTTTGMGCAGAAATATTATTTTTAGAGTCCTAGAAGAAGCATGGAGGACAGAACTCATCTAAAAGCTATTGAGAAGGCTGACCCTCTAGTTAACAAGAGGAGGGCTTGTGGGCACCTATGAATTTTACATCCATGAGAACTTTGATTCATTCTGATCTCAGAAACTCCCTTGTGTGAAACGTAACAGAAGTCTGGCAAACCATGCCCCGCAGGCTCAGGCAGCCACATGACTCATGCATCCAAAACATGCTCTTACTAACATACAAAGCATGCTCTTACCAACATCCAAGGATGAATGTGCAGATAGTTGAATTTAAATGCACTTCGAGTGAACTTTGGCCTTGAAATGAGACAAAAAGTGGGGGTTTTTTTGCCCTCATTTTATGTTGAGAGTCACTAAAGAACTTGTTGTCTCATGCAGAGTGAGTTACTGTCTCTTCTGTAACAGTTTCCTTCCTGTGAGACTGTGGGCAGATCATAACACCTTGTCATCTCAGACAGATAAAACAGTAAGGATCTTTGTAAACCCTCCAACACTGTGCATAGACAAAGGACAAACTCTAGTGTTAACAATAGATCTCCCTGTTTTAAAAGCTCAAGAAATGCCCTCTGCTTTGGGTGAACAGAGAGATGAAAACAAAAGAGCATGAAACACAGAGCAATCTCAAAATCTGATGAGGGGATGACAGAAACCAGAATAAGCACCTTGACCCTGCAGCAATGAAGATCCATGGCAATGTGCCATCTCTCTCTTTCTCCACAATCAGAACTTGCATTTCTGTGCAAGTTCTGGGATCACAACTTGAGGGTCAACCCTGAAGTTACCTCCCCACTTGCTGCAGCTTCCCAAGCAAAAGCTATCCTGCAAATCTTGCAGAAGTATTCCAAAGAAGAGATGGGAAGAAGGCAAGGAGAGTAAGAAATTTCCTTTACTGACAAGCTGTGGTCCACTGGTCAAAACCTTCTAGAAAAAAAAAGCAAAATGGTTACACAAAAAGATGACAGAAAGGCAAATTCTTTTCCTTGTAGCTGATAATCTGTAAAAGAATTTAAGGCACGAAAGCAGATGTCAAGAAGAAGACGTTGCATAAATACGAAATGAGAAAATGATAGAGTTAGCTGGACTAGAGACTTTGCTTCTTCCTTAGCAATTCCAATAACCTCTGAGATCAGCAGCAGGAGATGAAATGATTCTGCCAGAAGATGACTATAGGTCCAGCTTATTTTCTGCTTTACAGGTGGGTCTTCAGGACTATATTGCAAAACAACCCTAAGCACATTAGATATCTCCTCATATGGGAGAGTGTACCTGGCTGGAGATTTCTTGGGTAGCCAAAGCCTGGTGTCAGGAGAATCAGGAGAATAATTTCTGCTGTACTGACACAAACAGCAGCCTAGTTACATCCAAGTAAGTCTTGGAGAAAAGTTTTACCAACCAGCTGTTTCTTAGCTGACAGACATATAGGCCAGGATGGAAAAGAACAAGAATCAGGGTAGGATAYTAAGAGCTCATCTTCCTTCAAAGACACATGACCTCTTTCTCCTTACAGGAAGGACTTTCCTCTGCCTAGAGGAAGAGTTTTCCCAGTCCTTTCATAACACCCAGTGTGGCACTACAGAAAGGAATAAAATGTATTAGCCTTGACAAGGGTAACTAAAGCCACGTCAGCCACGCTGGGAAAGGAATGTAACAAACCCTTAGTAAGAAACTCAATATGAGAGAGCTGGAAAGGGATAGGGAAGGCTTGAAGAAGATTGAAAACTGAAGAATTAAATTACAGASGGATGTTAAAAAGTTCTCTTTCAGTTTGTGTTTTGGACTTTTTTAAGCTAAGGAAGTCTAAAGAAAAACAATTACGCCTCTTAGAGAAGGGAAGGTTAGAAGAGTTTTCTACCACTTTTGAGAAGTATCAGTTTGAGCTCTGMTTTGGAAAGGGTGATCTTGTCATACAACCAGGATGCTGCAGGTCCAAGTCMCTGCTGTTGCATGCCACTGTGAAGACATGTTTCAGGCTAGGAAGTCTTTGAAAATACTGCTGTATTTTAAAAATTTAAGACAAACTGAAGAAACATTTAAGAAATTTAAGAAACACTGCTGTATTTATAGAAAGAGGTAAGAGGAGGAGCAGGAGGGGACCACCTCCTGTGTAAAGATGGAGAAGGCAGACAAAAAGGAACACGTCTCCAAAAACATTGCAACTTTTACTAAAATGCCAAGTAATTTCTTTTCCATGCTATCCTGTAATCAGAATATTTAGTACTGAAGTTATCATTCCCATACATGATGACATAGTGAGAAAAGTACTGGGAAATAGTTATCAGGACAAAAAAAGAAAAAAAAAAGAAAAAAGARAGAATTACTGCTGCTGTTTCAGTTTTCTACCAAGGAAACTCAGGTCTAGGCCACTGAGTACTCCTGAAGCTTGAAACAGGTCTAGTATAATGATGCCTCTATCTTGCTTTCAAAGACACCAGAGGAAGGAAACTTCCCTTTCTCTTTGGGAGCTAAACGAGTCAACTGCTCAGCTGCATGACTTTTTTGATGGAGAAGTCTAGAAACTGAGAACAGAACAGTAGTTCACAGGAGCATTGTTCAGATGTATGCAAGGCATTTTCATCCAGATTTAAGCTGGCTCTCCTTGACTATTACATGTTCTATGAGCTTCTCTAACCTTCAGAACCTCTTGAGCCTTTTTTTTTTTTTTAACTATTAATTGAGAGTATTTAGAAGATCAGCCCTTCCCCCAGGCAAAAAGGCACCTTTTGCCTTCGCTACTAAGGAAAACAGCTGGACAAGCTCTGTAGGTTGTTACCAGCATAGCAGTCTCTCCAGGATCTGAAACAAATCTCTAAGCAGTGACAGTGTTTTAAGCTAATAAGCTTCATAAGCTTTAAACTAATACATTAAAACAATAAGAAGGATAATACTAAGTATAAACACAGAGTATTTCAGTCTGTGTATAATGGAAGGCAATCCTACTCAGGCTGCTTGTGCCAGGCAAGCTAGGCTGACTGCCCTGCTGTGCTGCATCCACTGTATGATGCATCCCCCATCCACAGTGGACTGCTCCCCAGTCCTTTATTTTCTCAGGCAAAAGAAGACTACAGGCTCATCCCGGCTACAGATGGGGTCGAAAGGCTGCTGCTTGTGAGGAAGGTCTTGATTTCACAAAACAAACGTGTTCTAAAACTGGGATCCATGCAAACAATAGCTCAACAATAGCTGGACTCTAGATGAGTTTGAATCTTTGAACAGAAGACCCACAGGAATTTCCTTAGACAAGCTTCTTCCCAAAGAGGATTTTTTTACTTCACAAGGCAAATAATCCAAGTCTTTCCTTTTTCTCTTTTTTTTYCTTTTCTTCTGTGTCAGCAAGATACTCTCTTATTTGTCTATGTTTCACTAACTCTTATCTCAGGTTCTGCGATGTGGCTGATACAGAGGAACAGATCTGTCCATCCGTCCAAATAAGTTCCAAAGTGCATTACAACTCAAAAAGGTCACTGACCTGTGGCAAATAACGGTCCATTATTTAATGCCTTACCCGGATCTGCAAGTCCTTGAGCTCGAGGCATCGGCACATTTCTAAGAAGAGCTTCACACCRTCCTCATCTAGGATTATATAGACAGGAATCCAGCGCTTATATGCTGCATCCACAATGTCTCGGAAGATGTCCCGATCTGTAAATATATCCATGACCACAGCAATAATCTAGAAAGAAGAAGACAGAAGACAGGCAGCTAAATAAAACATTAGGAACTGAAAGGGAGGCCCATCACACTGGTGCAAAATAAAGGAGAGCACTGGTACCAGAATAGGGAGGAGGAGGATATAGGGGAGACCAAAGTACAGGAATGTACATGCCCAAGCACCTCCAACAATCTCATAATTTTCTGGCATGGCTCCTGCTACGCTTTGGAAGGAACTTAATAAATCTTTTGGAGGGTTCTCCTTCTTCTAGGTGAAGATGGCTTTCTTTAGAGGCCTGAAGAACACCAAAGGCAAATGGCTAAATTCCAAATTTCACGAGCCCTGAAGTCTCAGGGACCAGCCAGCATGTGTTGGGGTAATGCAAAAAGATGTGTGTGGAGTTTAAGGATGGATGAAGTGATATAATTTTCTCACATAGATCAGCTGTAGGTTTTTTTATTCTCAAAACTGTGGTTTTGAGAATAAGAGGTGGTAAGAGGTGGAATAATTCCCACCAGAGAGCACTGTGCTTTGAAATGGTTCTTGAGCAAGGGAGGTTTGGGGAAATGGATGCCGTGGTACATGGCATCCCCTAGACTGTTCTTGCTGAGACTCTGCTTGTACTGCCAAAAAAAACCCAACACCTCTGCTCTGCCAGGCTTTCTGTCAGCAGTACTTACACAAGCTGTTATTTATTAAAAAGAAAATAAAAAGAGTCACCATGGTGTTTATGCCAATCATTAATGTGCACATTTTTGACACAGGTCACGTGACAGAGCACCATTATAAAATAATAGTAAAACTCCTGATAAGTTCTGCTAAGCAGAACTGGATTCAGCTCCCACCTGAGATCTTATCTTCCACACAAAGCAGCAAAATACATGAAATTTTATCAAAACTTCTGAAAAAATAAAATACAGTGAACTTGTGTCACTTTATCCCTAAACAACTTACTGTACAGATTATGATTGAAGGCATGATGTTTCCATGCATTAATTAAACCCTGTCATTTCTCACCCAAACGCACACTCTGATATGGATGCTGTTACTTAGAAACATGGACACCAGACATGATTTAGTTGAAGTAAGAACATCTACAGAGGGGGTTGAACAAGAATAGCTAGCAGAGGTGTGAATTGTGTTTGCTTTCCATCCCATCTGTTTGCAAGGAGTCCTACATCTGCCGGAATTTCAGCACCCCAACTACTTAATAACACTGACTTTGCAATCTGCAGGGCCAGTCCCCTCAGTGCTTTGGGTCTCTAAGTCAAATCACGTTTTTTTGCAAAGCCAAGGACTAAACCCATGAAAAATGTACCCCTCCATGGGCAGCTGATCAACTCCCTTGCAACTGACACCTCCCGGCTGGCAACCGGAGTTGTTTGTCCTTGTTAATATGCCATAGTCTTCCCAATCYCATGTCACACTGATCTGTCAGGATTAGCTAGGAGCGTTCCCAAATCCAGCAAGTCAGAGCATGAGYGTTTACCCCTGCAAGGTTTTTTTCCCATTCCTCTACCTCCCCTATGGATAATAACACTGCTTATCTATAGGGGCATGGGTGTGCCAGCCTCTTCTTAGGTATGTACAGATTGGCAAGCATTAATTTGCCGATCTTATTGCGGCACGGTAGCTTAATTAACACGTTTGTTAAACACCGATGATAAGTGACCCACAGCCATGTGYCAAATATTACTGCTACCTGTTTAGTCCTCCCCTAGCTACAACACTGCTGAATGGAAAGCTGCAGCCTGGAGACTTTATTCTCCAGGACCAGCTCAGCAGAGCACAATGKGCATAGTTATGGAAGAAAAAGGCCATTAAACTCTTAAATGGCTGTTAAACATGAAACCACCTTTGAGCTGGGAGGGGCACAGTTCAGCTGGTCAAGGAAAAAATTTCCAGGGCAATTAATTACTTTCAGGTGCCAGAACACCTATGAAAAAGCCACGTTTCCTCATCATCACACCACCTGTAGAGGCATTTATGCCGGTGCAAAGAGGATGTGGAGTTACACCACATCAGAATGAAAGGACTTTGCAGCTTCTGGTTTCACAGCGGCCATGAGGTAGCAGTGAACTGAGGAGASCACACATCCATGTCTTGCTGGAAAGTTTTCTGTATATCCCAGCAGGTCTGGTTTTAACATGTCTCTGCAAGGGGTGTGCAGGTAGTTTGTGCCCGGAGGCGGGGAGGAGGAAACAACCACTGGATTCACCTCTCAGAAAGCAACAAAACGAAAAGCGGGGAGGAAAAACCTGACACTGATACCCTTTTTGATGGAGTGGACACCAGCCCTGACAGGAATCATTTCCTGCATGAAAAGTCCACCTAGATCCAGCGGAAAAACCCCTCCTCGTTGTGCCCCTAGCTATGCCTGTGCAAGCTCCTGCACGGTCCGGGCTGGTTTGGGCTCTCGGCAGAGGCGCCGTCGCCACTGACAGTCTCTGCAGATGAACAGGAGGAGCCGCCGCTCGTTGTCCGGACTTGGCTGCCTGGCGAGCGCGGCTGGGTGCTGCTGAGGCCACAGGAACAGCCCCTCTCTGCTCCAACAGGGCTCCCTGCGCGGTCGGGAGAGGCAGCGGGAAGGGCATCCGCACGCGCCTCCCTGATGCAATGAGTGGGAAGGGGGCAGGACGGCGCGAACCTCGGACACAGAACGCCAGGATACGCCGGGTTAACCCCATCCCGGATGTCAGCTCTTACTTCATGTGGCCAAACCATCATGCCATTAGGACTGGCAATGAGCTGCCCGGAAAAGCGTACGGACTGACCAGCGGAAAATGGGAGCCCACCACGCACGGAAAAGGGCAGCAAACGAAATCCAGGAGTCGGAGAGCTCCCTTCCACCCCACASGTCACGGCCAGGCGCTGGTCGCCGATGCCCCACGTTGCTCCCGCACGTGCAGGCGACGCAGGCGGCACCGAGCCCGACCCCACCGCCATGGGGCCGGCCGTGCCGCTGTGCGGGGCCAGGCCCTACCTTCTGGGCCTGCTGGATCATGTCCCGCACCACCTCCTTGAGGTGCGGCGCGCTCTCCTCCTTGCGCGGGTGCGTGAAGAGGGCCACGCGGCTGATGCCCCGGTAGAAGGTCTTGTCGGTCCAGCCCAGGTCGAGCGGCGGCACCTCCGTGTCGGAGCACTCGGGCCAGTAGGCGAGCGAGAGGGTCTCGCCGCCGGGCCCGCGYGCCACTTTGCCGCCCTCCTGGGGGTCGTCGTAGCCCCGCCAGGCGGCCCGCAGGGCCTGCAGCTCCCGGCCGGAGAGGAAGTCGCGGAGCTGCTCCTTCTTCAGCGTCTCCCTGTAGGCCGCCTCGCCGCGCGTCGCCAGCGCCTCCAGGGCCCGCCGCTGCTCCTCGCTGTAGTAGAAGCGCGCCTGGGCCTCCGTCACCTTCTCGTTGACGTGCAGGTCGTCCAGGAGCACCACCTGGGACTCCGCCATGCTGCCGGCACCCGCAGCAGCGGCGGCCGCGGAAGGAGGGAGAGGCAGGGCAGGGACCGCCTCACCTGGCGGCGGCGGAGCGGAGCCGAGCCCGCCCCGACGGGTGGAGCGGCCCCGCGCTGCCCGCGCACGGCCCGCCTCGCGGGGCCCCGGCTGCTGGGYACCCTGCCCGGGACAGGGCCGTGTCCCCGCTGCCGACCCCCGGCTCTGCCCCCCGGCACRGCTGGGCTCACRGCRACGGCCAGGCCTGAGCAGAGCCCCYGAGGGGAGCGGGATCTGGGCAGGGTGTGGGGGAAAGCCCCTACAGTTGTGGTAGTGGGCGGAATTACGAAAAAAAAACATATTTAGGAAGGATTTTCCCACCTCTTTTTTAGCAAAGTGGCTGCCCTTTGTCAGGAAGGAGGGGATGTGCATGGGCCACTTCAAGGGCTGCGTGCTCCTGAGGTGGCCACGAGCCCAGCTGGCTGCCAGCTGGCCTTCGGCAAGCCCCAGGAAGAAGCGGCAGAGGCGTCTCGGCGCTTCGGTGCCGTGCCATGCGGCAGGGTGGCTGGGAAGATTTTTCAGAATATTTCAGAATATTTAAGGTTGGAAGGGACCTCTACAGATCATCTAGTCCAACCTTCCTGCTCAAGCAGGCACACCTAGAGCATGTGGCACAGGGTGGCATGATAGAGTGCTCTGCCCGAGCCCATGCAGCAGCTGGAGTCCGAGCCGGGAGCGCATCCGCGCCGCTCCCCATCGCGGGCCGGGAGCGCCAACAGGCACCCCTGGCTTGGCATGCGCGTCCCCGCGGAGGGACGAGGGGCAGCAATGGTAAACGATGGGTTTGGGGGTATGTGAGAGGTGCTAGGGGCCCTAACGAGGACTCTGGTCCCGTGGGGCTWGCGGTTCACCTCTCACTGAAAGGCAGCCAGGGACAGAGACAAGCAAAGAAATAAGGAAGAGGGCAAGGCAGTGGTGAAATACAGTCAGAAGCATCTGCAGTGCTTTACATCGGTGGTTAGCCCTGAGTGCTCACAGGGATGAAATGCACAAACTGTAGGATCAGAGCTACTCACGTTGTTCTTTGCCATAGGTACYGTCACCTGTGGTCAGTGTGAGTTTAAAAATCCAAGGATGTGATTGGGGCAAGTTAGCTTGCTCTGTGCTTTTCCTCTCCCTTATATGAAAGGGAGGATGTTGGTATGCCAAMCTGTCAACCAATAGCTTTTCCTAGCATGAAATTCATTTAAAATTTGAAGTTGTGCTTTGCAGAGATCTACTCATCTGCCTATCAAATTCCCTTAAAAATTAATATCAGTTCTTTTAGCCTAGCCTCCTACGGAAACAAGACTTAGACGACTGCAGTGTCCACATCTGTCTGCTTGTCTGTCCATCTCTCCCATATGTTTTGAACCCACTGGCTGACTTTGAACAAGTCTGGCAGAAAGACCAAGGCCTCAAAGGCAGCTACACCCTTACAAGAAAAAATAAAAGGCCTAATAGATAAAAGGARTCCCCTAACAGGGAAAGTCGCAACATGAGTTTGTGCCTCATTAGACTCCAGATACTCCATACAAATGRAAGCACTAGTAAGTGCCTGAACTGTTCGAAAACCTTCAACTGCAGTTTATGCAGTTTATCTTCAACACCCCAGCTATTCAACTTCAGCACGCAAATACATAGGAGATGTAGCTTAGTTAGTGTCGCCGCTCATTGAACTATTTGTATTTTTTSTGTACCAGAGGCTGCCATCAACTTTACTATTTCATGTGTGCTTAAATAAAGTCCCTTTAATCTTTGCTGYTCTGTTCATTCGTAGCTGCACAATGTAATCCTTTGTGTCCAGGTGAAGCTCCCACATGAAAGCAACAGTAGGTTCACAAATGTATATTTAGTTTAATATTTAAAGGCAAGCTAATGCTTCCCACATCCAAGCAAAAGCGGCAGAGATTTTTAGTTTGCTGTGCTGAAGGGTTTAGTCCTCGTCTCTCACTCTGGAAGATCAAGCGTGGTATGTGGGTTGGTAGGATAAATTGGGGAATAGAGTTGTGCAGAGTCAGGGAGACCCCCTTTCTGAGGCATGCATGTGTCATCCCCTCCCTCCTCACACCGGGCCTCCTCCCAGTTCTCCTAGCGATTCATTCAAATGAATTCAAATGTATTTTGTATATGTTTTGGTTTGATGATTCAGGCCTTTCTGCCATGCCCTGACCCTCCAGCTGAGAGCCTCATGCAAAAGACTGAAAGGAAGGGCTGGGAAGACAAACTGCCTTCTTCTGGCCCAGCAACGCTGGAGCCTGGCGAAGAAGAACCGTGGCAGAGAGGGTGGTGGGGGAGATCCTTGGGCCTGGCCCTGCCTCCCTGGCACTGAGCAGTAAATCACAGCTGCTGCTCCCCATGAAGCTCTTCACTGTTGTTCTGGCTCAGGTTTTACTCCCTGACCCTACCGCTAGCTCAAGAGAAAGAAGAAAGAGGAAACTTGCTTTTAAATCAGGCTGAGGCTGTTGCTAATCCACGCAGGTTTACAACATCCGTCCTTTTATTTAGTCCTTTTCCTGCGGATTCCTTGCTGCAAGGACGGTGTGTGCACAGGCAGGGTTGGGTCTCTTTGCTTTCGACCTTTGTTTGGGTGTCCTCCCAGCCAAGTCCCAGTTAAGGTCTAGCTTACTTTCCTGGTCTGGCTCCAAAACAGCTTCCAAAGGATGCAAACTAACCTATCAGGAAATATTACCTCTTATTGTAACCCTCCCCCAACCCCATCACAGCGTTGAGAGTCTTCTGCCTTCAAACACCTCCCACGTATATTCTGCTTACTTGGGCCTAATTGCTTCACTTTCCTTTGCAAGGCAGCGCAGGTTGTGCATTAGATAAAGATATGACACCTTATATTTAGCATTAATTGTAACTGTGCTTGTCCTAAGCATAAATCTCTCTTGCCAGTCCTTCCTGTGTAATTTCAGTCTCTAAATAGCCTATCTCATGATATATTCTTAGATAAATTTCCTGGTGGTGTTTTTATTGTGACATAAACTGCTGCACGCTCTTGTTACAAAACTTTGGGTGTTCGTCTCTTCGGGAATAAAATTCTGATGCCTACCCTGATGTCATTCCTTAACTTCTATTTCTTCCCTATAGAAAAGAGATATAAAAATAAGGGATTATTTGGTCACAAAGTAGTCACATACTGAAACCCTTGTGGGTTGGGGCATTATGCTCTAGAGCAAACTGACGCGAACCACCCAAATTTTGACTTTTCCGTGCAAATCGAGAACTAGCTAAAAGGGCTCAAAGGAGGGAGACCACAATAGAGAAACACCCATTTCTCCATTTGCCAGCTGCAGCGTAGCGGAGGCCACGGGGCTTTGCTGCCCGGCAGTGGCAGAGTAAACACACGTAAGTGCCTGTGCCCTGGCCGCTGTTAGGCACTAGGTGTGCTGGCTGGCCCCAGAGCAGGAACCGCAAGAGGTCGGTGGCACCTGCATCGTCTCGCCCCTGCTCGCTGCACCCTGTGCCCTGCCCCGGGGCGCTTGGGGAGCAGCTGTGCCCGCAGCTGGTCACGCCGTGTGCCCGTCCTGAGTGTGAGACTTGTGTGGGCAAGGGCTGCCCGGCCAGCGCGGGAGCGGGCGCGTTAGTCACCTCCAAGTGTTGGCAGAGCTAAATGTCTAAGCGAGGCGATTTTAGGGTGGGGAGGAAGGAGGGTTCGGCCTCGCTGCTCTCCCCTCCAGCAAGGCGAGGAGCTGCAGGCAGTGGCAGGCAGGGGTGTCGCTCCTGCCGCAGTGACGGACTGCAAGCTGCAGGATGGAGAAATGCTCTCAGATGCTTCYTTTCTGTCGTATTGCACTGCCTCGGGGAGAAAACCCAGCTGCTGAGTTGGAGAATTGCTGCAACTGAGTCAAACGCTTCTGGCCTCCCACTCAGCCCTTCAGCTGATGTTTCTGCAKGAGGGTAAATAGGTGAGAGAATCATATGAGGAGAGCAGAAAGCAACAACTGCCTTCACGGGATCGTTTCTTGCACTGAGGTATTTGCTGACTGAGCAAACGCAGAGAAGCCTTTTGCTGCTTTCTGCTCCCATTTACACAGCAACAGATTGAGGCAGTTTCCTGTAAGAAATGCTGCCGATGCAGGTCTCTCGCTTAACCTTTCAACTCTCATATAGGCAAGGAATCAAAGCTGGTTTTGATTCAGAACTCACTGAGATACACTGTGGACCTTGGTGCCTCACTTCCTCATCTGCAAAATGAGGAAAATATTGCCACAGGGCTAGTGAAAGAAATAGCTTTAATAAAAAACAAACCAATTTCACCTACCTTTACCTTTGTTTCTACTGCCAAAAGAAGTGTGTGTGTGAGGGGGGGGGTGGAAAAAAGACAGCTGTAGAGTCCCTTTTCAAATGAGCCAGGCCCTGAATGGAAGATCTCACTGAAGAAAATAGTGGGGAATAAGCAATGCAGTCTCTGAATAGGATGCTTAATTGCAGCTATAATTATGTAGCTCTCAAATCACAGGGTGCTTCACAGACAAAGGAACAGCAGCAATGGGGGCGCGGATAAGTTAAGGCAGCAACAAGTCTCCAGCATCTTGTACTTACCTGTGTCCTTGCCACCCGTCAGGGCACGTCGCTGCTGTTTCTTTGGAGAAGAAAATGTTCATATGAGAGTTGATGGAAGCAAGAAGTGGAGCACAGAAGGAAAACTGGGCTTATCCAAGGAGAGGCAATGGCGAGAGTGATGGAAAATGGATGGGAAGGAAGCAATGGCAGAAGCAGTCTTGGTGTGGTGGTGCAGAAAAATCCACTGTAAGGTCCACCAGCTGGGGCAAGCCAGATGAGATGGAGGACGTAGGCTAGGCAGTCATATGTGTACAGCAAGGATGAGATGTCCAAATAYTACATGGTGGATAAGAGGGAATCACTGAAGGGAACACAGTAGAGACACAGGGGTTCCAGCAGGGAACAAATTCATTTAAGGAGCTGCATAATTAATGGAGGAAATGAGAGAAGAGGGAAATAGAGATGAGGCTGCRGAGTCTACA